TTTGGCAAAGACGAAGGATGTTGCTGAGATGAAATTGAAGCATTCCTGTCGGTCTTTGAGCGACGTTTTGAGTGTCGCATCCACGTTCTTCATACGGACGGCGGAGAGGAATACAAGACTTTGGACGTGTTATGTAAGGAAACTGGTGTCTCACGTCAAATCAGTGAGCGTGGTAATCAGGCCAGCAACGGCAAAGCAGAAAGGATGCATCGCACCATCATGAACATGGTGCAAAGCATGGTGTTTTCAATTGGTCTTCCTTTGAAATTCTGGGGTGACGCTGCGGAGTACGCAGCGTACATTTTATATCGAAGTCCCACTAAGGCAAATGACGAAGGACTCTCGCCCATTAAATTGACCACCAAGAAGAACTCATATCTTAGCGACATTGTGGTTTTTGGCTCGACGTGCACGGTTTACCTACACAAGAACAACAAGTCGCTGGGTATGCGTGGAAAGGCGGCTATCATCATCGGGAAGGACGATGAAATGAAGGGACACAGTGATTACCTGGCAAAGGATCGCGTCGTTGTGGTAACATAACATGTAAAACATCGGAACCCTGACCGACGTATCGGGTGGCAATCCGTCGGAGAATTTGCGTGGAATTGACGGTCAGGAGGAGCCTCAAATTGAAGTTGGCGATCGTCCTGCAACACGTCTTTCAACTAAATGGACATGTGACGCGATCAATTAGCAAGAAGACAAGCAGGCAGGGCGATGCAGACGAGGGTGCGGATTTACAAGACATCTCTTAAACTGTTGTCGGGCCCGACCCAAGAAGCTATGGTGAAGCCATGATGAGCCACTCGAAGGAAAAATGGCTTGTGGTGATCACTGAGAACTGACAACTTTGGAGGCCAACGGTGTCTGGGCGATGGTCGTTCCTCTGGCGGATTCGCATGTCCTGCATAACTAGTGGGTACTTAGGACAAAGACGGATGCGAACGGAAACTTGGAGAGGTGCGAGGAAAGACTCGTCACATGCGAAAATGAACAGCTTTTCGGGGTTGATTACAATTTGACCTTCGCAGCGGTCATGGAGCTCGGCACCGTGAAGATGATTTTTGTACTCTCGCGTCGGTGGAATGTCCCTGCACGCCATGGAGATGTACTGAACGCGTACGTCAAGGTGGATAAGAAGAAGGATCTGGACATATATATGATGATTCCGAGAGGGGTGCAAGTTAGTCAAGACATGTTAAATAAACACGGAGTCAAGGAAACAAAACAGCTTGCTCTGGTGCTAAAGAATTCACTTTACGGTTTAATTCAAGCCGGACGATTGTGGATCAAGTTGTTACATTCGAAGTTGGTTGAACTAAACTTAAATCAATGTTGACTGACATGTGTCTCTACATGAAGAAGGTTGGTGACGACGTCACGATTGAAGGGGTATACGTAGATGACGTGTTAGTCACTGGCACCTCACCTGCAGTTGTGTAGCAGTTCTTCTTGAACATGGCGCCCCTTCTCCGTTAGCCACAGCCGACTTGCCATGTCTTGAATCCGATTAACTTGCTCGAGGGGTCCCCATGTCTGGCAGGAGAGTGCTGGTGAACCCCAAACACCTGTACCCTAAGGTTTAACCTTCACTGCCGGGTATCGAACCAGTGACCTCTGGAATATGGCTGCCACACATTTCCACTCGAGCTACAGCATGCCTACGAAATGCTCGTACTGGTAGTCTATTCTACCGTACTAAGTGGAGCATGTTATAGACACGCTTCATCATATGCATGTCCATAACATACCCTTTGCATCACCTAATCTTAACACCTATGGAGTTTCCTCATATCGCATCTTCGAATGGTAGTACTGCCTTCCAACCGACATGTAACTCCTCCCCAAGGGAGGATTCCCTCCGACGTGACTGCCCCGAAGGGAAAAAGACTGGCTTGAGCTGAACCGTGAAAATTTGGGAATCGAGTGTTGCAGCATGTGCGAAGCGTGGTATATTGGAACAGCCTGAGTAGATCTCCTTGTCTCCCGATTGAGCGCAAGGTCCATCGCGAGCGTATCATTCAAACAAATGTGCAGCCGCATGAATTCTGCAGCTGGACGTTATCTCTGTGTGTGAAACGGCTTTGTGCAGCATCGACGGCTTTCCTCGCGCTATCGCAGCGACAAGAGAGCGTAAAGCAAGCGAATGTAGGTATGTCAATGCTAATGGGTTGCATGGTAGCACCCGGAACCTCCAGAACGTCAGTGGTCATGTGGGTCTTGACCCCATCACAACAGTCACCCCGCTGGACGCCTGCCAACATGTGCGCCCAACACGCTTCGCATGACGTGACAAGGCCACTATAGTAAATGCGTCGAGCGTGTCCGGACACACAAGCATCAAGGCCTTACAATCTCTCGTCGGGAGTCTACTTTGGAGATTGCACGCTGCACCCGACCTGACATCAGCTTTGCTGTGCATCGAGCAACTAGGCAAACTCACAATTCTACAGAAAAGGATTGGAAGATGCCCAAACGAGTTGCGCGATATTTGAAGGGCACAAAGTCTCTAAAGCTGTGCATCAAAACCACGAGCTCTTCGAACGATCCGATTAAGATTGAAAGTAGGAGCGATGTAGACTTCGCTGCGGACAAGTCTGATCGAAAGTCGGTATCAGGATGTGTGGTGACCACGGATGGTGCAGTGGTGTCGTGGTCCTGCAAGAAGCAGACTGGAGTTTCGCTCAGCACAATGGAAGCAGAATTTATTGCAGCGTCCCAAGCGGGACGTGAACTGTTGGGACTCAGGGAGCTTTTCGGCGAACTAGGCACGGAGGTTTATGAACCGATGCCGATGTGGAGGGATAATCAAGCTGCGATCAAACAATTGGAGAACGAAAAGAGTACGTCGAGCGCAAAGCACATTGACATACGATTTAAGTTTATCTGCCACTACGCTTAAGTCAAGACGGTGAAGCCAAGTTTTGTCAAGTCTGGTGGTATGATCGCGGATTTATTAACGAAGGCACTACCAGCTCCGAGAATTGTGGACTTGCGCGGCATGTTCAAGTTGATCACCATACAGGATGATGTCGAGGAGTATTGGAAGTCATTGTTTTTGACAGGTAACAAGGTCGTGCAGTTTAAGTGCAAGACCCGTTACAGGTAAGCTGCGACCCCACCTGATTGGTCGAAATTTGACAGGTCGACACTTGGGATGAAGAGAGACGGACGCCATGTGACAAGATGACACGTGGTACAGAGAGAGACGGAGACCATGTGCAACTTGACCTGGTCAGGTTGCAGTTCTGTTTTGGTCTATGCATACTGTAGTGTTGACAGGAGGAATGGTCAACACTGAATATATTTCACTTTTACTTTCACTTTTCCTTGCACGAGTGCAAGTACAACATACTTTCTAACAAATTCGCTTGAGCATCCATCGTCCGTACCGTCCTGTCTTCCCGGCAGGCTCCAATGGAGCTGTTTACCTTCTCTTCGGCTAACCTTCTTGTTGCTCGCATCGTAGGTTATCCTGGCTCCCCCATTGTCCGGACCGTGCCTTATCTTGACATCCCTCATTCGTTGTCGAGCTTGTTTACTTGTTCTCGCTTGCTTTGGACCACTTCAATAATACCACCACTCCACTTTAACCAACATTCACCTTCAAATGCAGAACTTGGTCGTCCCTTTCGTGAACGCAAATAGCGACCGCTTATCCACTGTGCGTTTATGTAGTCTCCATCGTCGGACCATTTCCTATCGCGACGTCATGGACCCCTCACCTAAACTCCTCCAATGTCATGTAAGCCTTATAAACCCAATTTCCAACCCTATTCGTGTTGTTGTCTGCGGCCACTAGTCAAACGTGCGTAAAGAGCGCTGTTGTGGCCATTGACATGGACGCGATCATTGGCCGTGTGGTTGACTTCCACAATTATTGGATCCGGATATCTATTGAACACGATATCTGGTACGCATGTCACGATCGTAGTAACAGATATGGTACAATCGACATGACGCGCAAGATGGACGATGTTTCGTTGCACTAATAGCGAGTGGCGAACCTGCAAAAGCACAACTAGTAGAGCCGTCCGATGGCTTCAGTAAAGAGCTAGATCCATTTGTGTATGCATGTCCAGCTTTCACAGACCCCAGTATTGCCTCAAGGTTCCATTTAACTATATCCGCCGTAGCTTGGGCCAGTTTACATCTCAGTGAAAAGATCTGCACGGTCTACTTGCATCTGTTGCAACTATGCGGCAAGCACGCGAAACCGCAGCAAAGCGCGTTAGTTTGCACAAAAAATATGAGCTGGAACGCCACATGAGTTGCAAAGAACCTGCCGGCGCGGGCCGATCGGTTATGTCGCTGAGGAACGCCGCTGGCACCCTCTGCACTACTTACCGCTGGATTGCCATCGGGAACAGATCAAATGCTTATTGTTGCTTCTAGTAGGTCCATTCACTTATTTGGATATCTACACACATTTGTAAGTGGTGAGCTGTGTGATGCTGTCAGAAGCACGCGTTTCGCATCTATAGACCACGGCTTGCAAGGTATTGATTGATGCAATGTGCGACTCACCACATGCCAATTCAGAAGCAGTTTGTCGTTGCTATGCTTGTTTCGTTTGACAGCCAGGAACTCAATCGAGGAATACTCACTCGTTCATGTCTCCTCAAACATGCTCCCAACCTTGTTGTGGTCTACATTCTTGCGGACCAGAAATACCTCTTGCGGAGGCCGTTGCTACGAACTTGGCCACGGCAACTACGCGGCCGGCGACAACGATAGATGTGCTCGACTTGACTTTGTTGACCCTGTGACCACAGACAGCGGACTGTCGTACAGACAGATCGGTCGATACATACACATGCGGAGTTCGGTATGTTGTGGCTATATTCGCCACGTCTCGTCATTCCAATGACAGTCTCCGCTTCTGAAAAAAATGACACCAACATCAAAGCGCAGTACTGGCGCAAATGATTGCCGAATCGATACACATTACAACATTACGCTTCTGTCAGCACACAAGGCAGACTATCTCACCGGTCTCACATGTACTTCGCTTTGTGTCGTTTAAACTGATCGTGCGTCTTAGCTGCGCGTTCCAAGAACAAGTTGAAGATGTATGGCCACCAAAAGTTCGTCGTGCGGTCGTAGACCGAGTAGACAAAGCAGTAGACGACCCAGACCAAATACACTGCGCACACAACCAGTCGGCACAGAAGTCGGGTTACGATCAGCCTCGACAAACGCATACTATGTAGCTCCAGATCAACGAGTACGTACGTGGGAAGAAGAGCATCATGACGAAGGGCAATACGATACATGAGATCGTGATGCCCAGCCACAGTCGAAAGACGGCTCGAACCGACCTCTAATCAACACAACACGGCCCAAAAACGAGACTCATCAGCTCCAGCTCACGCATAGCAGCCTCACGCAGTCATCTTACCGATAGCTCTATCTCCACCGCCTTTTCCCCACCAGGAAATCGCTGATGCTCGACAAAGTACGTCAGCCGCTCTTCTTTCTCTTTCCAGCGCGCATCTAAAAATCCCTGCAAATCTGCTGTCGCGTCCTCATACCGAAACTTATGCGAGTGGATGGCCACATTTCCTGCAGGTTGTTTTCCTGCCACTAATGACTTCATCGACGGTACTTCCGTGTCCACTTTACGTCCGTAACCCATGTCAAACGTCGGCACTTCGCCCGAGTACGACGGAAACGCCAGCGTCAGGTCATAGATATCTGGCTTCACTGCAGCGGCAGCATCTAAAATGATCTGCATGCCCGTTGTGCGAGGAAGCAACACCCGCTCGAACTTCGGACGGCCTTCTCGAGCGGCAAACGCCTGCGACTTTGTCACGTATTCCTTGTGGATGGTCGTTCCTTCAGGGAACAGCACGAGCCAGAATGGAAACTTGTCGGTAATCAGTCCGTCCATGTACTGCTGAATGTGCTTCTGGTCTTGATCAATGCGACGTCGTAGGAAAAGAAACTGGAAGAGACGCATGCCCCAGCCGAGGATGGGCAAGTACTTGAGCTGGTCCTTAAGCACGATCTTGACATTGCCCGCCGCCTTCAGCTGGCGCGCCGCCTGCCAAATGTACCACCAGTCAGCGTCCACCTGGTGGTTTGCAATAATGATCGCCGGCTTCGAAGGGTCGGCCGGCAGCTCGCCAGTGACCGAGAGCTTCGTCAACGGAAAGCTCGTGGACGCCACGTCCACCCAGAGCGCTTGTGCTACTGACCTTCAATACAACAAAGAGATAGAGAGTGAGTAAAGCGACTCGTAGCAGAGTGAGAGGCGATGGATACCGAGTTCGATCGGTGTGGGTACAGCGTACGTACCCCATCCAGTAGCGGTAGAGCGCCGTATTGAACGGCCGCACGAGGCAGTAGAGGCAGAACTGGAGGAAGTTGATGCACACGCCGTTGCACAAGATCCACAGCAGGTTCAGCGCCGAGTACAGGTGGAACACCGCCATCGGAAGGAGAGACAGCGCGCCACACGCGGCGGCGCGAGAGGTTGAGGGACTGACTGCCCGGCAGTTGCAGTGCAAAGAATGACGCGTGATTGGCTGAAAAGCAGCTACGTGGGACAACATTGCGACGTGCGCTCTATGCCCTTGCAGTGCAAAGTAGGGACAAGCCAAAGTACGCCGTTTTTAGCTGTAAATTGAATAAAATCGTTCTGGAAACAAATGGTGTATAGTAAAAAAATGACTTTTGATAGAATGACAGCTACACGTTGACATCGTCTCTTGCCGATTGCGAGAATGCATCAGCGTGTGCTGACGCTTTCAGCGTACCCAGTTCTATCAGAAATACAAATTAGCTCGTTTGCGTTGTACAGATAAGTTTAGCGGCAGCCCTCAACTGTCGGAGCTTGACCCTGTAGTTCTAACCACTATAAAATCTGCTGACATTATGATTTGTGAAATTACTGAGCATGGAATTGCAATTGCTTGTGTAGTATTTAGACGAAGCAATTTTCGTAAGTAGGTCCGCTAAGAGAGGAAGAGCCTTGCATCAAAGTGGCGAGCATCTGGGTTCAGACGTATATCTATTGTAGCAGTTGTCGGACAGGGACGAAATGGAAGACCGCTCGAGCAGATTGATCCAGACCCTAATAAAAAGACGTGAGCCTGTTTTATGACATTACCTTTTACGAAGTGTCAATGGCATTTTCACCGCATTCAAAGAGTCAGCACTATTCGCCTAGGAGGTATCCTGTAGGATTTTGACAACGAAGGCAGCATGTGGAACTACTACATGAGGGGGTAATATGCAATATCTTACATTAAAAGAACTTATTCGAAAATATTGCCTGGGCTCCTCCATTAAGTCAGCTGTTGATAGCACTCTGCTCGTTGACTGACATCGATCATGTTAGGAGCGGACCAATTCACCACACTACGAAAAGATGCGCGCAATTTGCTGCGGGCAAGTAAGTAGCCAGCGCACGTATGTGCACTTATATGTGGTCAGCGTCGGTCCGTGTGATACTCAAATTAGGTGAGGATCTATTCTGAGTATATCACATTCTTCCATTTGACTTGGCTTGTTAAGTTTAGCTAGTTGCGCTACCTTCCTGCACTCGGAGTGTGTGTGAAATGTAGTGGGGTACTTCTTACTTACACTATGGCAGTGTAGACGCTTACACATAGCGTCACGTGCACAATTACCGAAAAAAAACTATTTGTCAGTACGTTGTAGATTTCGATGTTATTGCACGTGCATTTATAATGCCCGTCAATCTGCATTAGCTCGTCTACATATCAAGTGCGGTCAAAAACTGTCATTGTGCTCACGTCCGGTCAAGCTGCTCATCCAACCTCTCACATCGTAGAATACCTAACGTTGCCAGTTAGATGTCACATGGGATCACATCGGGCTGGTTTGCCTGCGGTCACGTGTCATGGTCGAGTCAGGTGCCACTGACAGCGTGCACCTACTGCGCAAACGTTCTCTAACGCAACAGAGAAAGCGTGATGTCTGATGTGCCAGCTCTAGTACCCCTTTGGTTTGATCGGACACTTCACCTGTAAACAGAAACTGAGAACATCAGTGCGTCATGCATTTCGGTGTTACCCAGTCAGTCGAAGTCAACACGGATGCCTCAATTACGCCGCACACATTCCTTGAACGACGATGCTCATCCGGAAGACGTAGTAGACCCCTCCCTCCCTGCACTTGCTCGACGTAGAACCTGACAGCCCATGCCAAATGACATACCATGTTGCCATAACGTCATTGTTGTGTTTGCCCTACTGCCAGCACACCTAAATCGTAGCGTGCGGTACGTGGCAAAAACATTTGACTTTCTGGCGCTCGTGTACACCGTCTCGAAGAGCGGTCTCTGCTGCGAGCAGACATTGCGATGGACGAACGAGAGAGAGAGAGAGAGAGAGAGACGCAGAGTATCAAGTCGATTGTATACGAGTGACTGCATCGGTCCCACGTTCGAAGTTGTCAGCGTCTGGGGCTCTTTGATCGGTCAGACACAGAGAAACAAGTGCTGCTTTGGCCACGTCACGCCAAAGCTCACCCACGACGCAACTCACCCACGTTCCTACTCGTAACATTGCATCCAACTTCTGGCCAACGAGTACATAGCCACCAGAAGCTGTCAAGCTGTCGTAGCCTCTCCTTCCCCCATCGACGCTTCAATGGCAAGCAATCTCCTGCTTCGTATTCGATCGCTTGCGTGACTGTCCCATCAAGACAAACGCGTAAGAGGCGCAACATCCATACCGACATGGCGGGTAGAAAGAAGTCGCATCCAGACTTCATCCATCACGGAGCTCACCTCATGTCCGTGCTCACGACCTCATCGCTACATTAGCTTAGTAAACACGTGTAGCGTACGTCGCACGTTTGGATCTATCTGCCCGGAGGAAGCAGCACACAAAGTCCACACACGAGCTCAGCGCCCGCCCGCGTCCAATCGATAACAACTCCATCGCCTCTTCCCATCTCCTCGTCCCCCGCTGCCGCCTCGCAACCACAGACACCATTACAGTGCACAACACCTCTCCATGCAGCCGACCGCAGCCGCTCCCGCACGTCCGTCGATCTCCGTACGTCTCGCCCTTTCGATCTTCTGTGCACGATGTGATACTATTGCTATGACACTATTGATATGGGGCCGTGCAGGACTACACGCTGCTGGAGTTCCTGGGCGAGGGGGCCACTGCGCAGGTCTACTTGGCCGAACACGACGCGTCCAATGCGCGTGTGGCGATCAAAGTGATTGACAAACTACTGGTCCAGCGGTCGCAGCTCGAGGGCAAAGTGCAGCAGGAGATGGTCCTCCACGCGGAGCTGCAGCACCCGCACGTGCTGCGCGTCGAGCGCGTGTTTGAAGACGCGCGCAACTATTATATGGTATTAGAGCACTGCGCGCACCGGTCGCTGTCGGCCATTGTCAAGACACTGCCGGGCCGTCGACTGGACGAGTCGAGGGCGAAGACGCTCTTCCGTCAAGTGGTGTCAGGTGTCGCATACTTACACGCGAGCGGTGTGATCCACAGGGACCTGAAACTCGCCAACCTGCTCGTGCATGGAGACGGTGGGGTCAGGATCTCGGACTTTGGCCTCGCAGCGAGACTCGGGTGAGGATTAACGGACAGAGAGACAAAGGCAGAGAGGGGTTGGGAAGGGCTCAGCAGTGTGCGTGTGTGTGATGGCGTTTGTTTGTTCGCGTGGGCTGTAGAGAGGACCACGTGACAATGTGCGGTACGCCGAATTTCATTGCACCCGAAGTGCTGACGGCGCCGGACGAGCCGTACGACGCTGCGGTCGATATTTGGTCCCTCGGGTGCATATTGTACTGCTTGTTGCTGGGCAGAGCGCCGTTCGAAGGCCGTCGAGTTAGGTGAGACGGCTGTGTGTGTGTTTGCGGGTCAGCTAATGGACGCGACGGACGATGGATCAGATATCTCACTGTTGCGTGCAGTGAAACGCTGGAGAACGTGGCGAACGCAGCACAGCATCCGCTCCAGTTTCCAGACGGGTTTTCGTCCTCGGCGAGCGACCTGATCAAGCGGCTGCTTAGTCCGGTAAGTCGTCGGTGAGCAGCTTCGAAGTGCGTGAGGTGGCGCAATCACTTACGCGTATGCTCATCTGTGTCGCTGCAGGTTCCACACTGCCGTCCGTCAGCTCAGCAAATTCTGACTCACACGTGGCTTCGTGGCGAGACTCGGAAGCGTGCACCGCCTCAGTCTTGTGCTCGACGCAAGTCGTCAGTTTGGATACCTCCGCACCCTCGAGCGTTGTCCCGACGATATACTGAGAGCTTGCGCGAAAGCGGCAAAGGTGCTGCACTTCGATCGGGAACTGAAGCAAACCGTCCGCTGCCATCCGTTAGGCTAACGGGTCCCTCAAAGACTCGATCGCGACGGTCATCAGGAGACCCGAAGGCCGGTTCTCAAGAACGTAGACAGCTCGAAGCTTTTCCAATCAGGACGGGAACCTCAAACGTGCAATCGATGCCGTTTGTTCTCGGGACCACCAGTGGTGACAGCAGTGTCAGCCTCGACTATAGCAGCCGAAGTGACGGCTGCAGCGATTTCTCGGCACTACCGTTGTCAGCGTCCACCATCAGCAGTGACGACGAGCGGATCGAGGGAAGGAACAAAGTGTTGAATGGCCAGACGGATGAAGCCGTCTCCGAAACGACTGAGGGGTTCACTTCAGTGGTTGTGCATGTAGAACTGCAGGACGTGGAGTGGCTCGGGATCCTTCAAGCGCGAAACCAAACGCTGCGCAGTGCAAAAGTGGCGTTGCAGTGGAGCTGCAACGAGTCGGCTGAAGTTGGTCGGCCACCGACTTTTCGGTTGGACGTGTCAAACGGGTGGAAAGCTTCCTACGACCCAGCGACTGGGACGCTCGTGGCCACCACAGCAGAAGGTGAGTCGATGCGGTACGACATTCCGGGCGTACGAAGTTCACGAGCTGATTCGGTTGCAGTCTGCGGTCCATCACCTTCACGCTTTGCCCAGCGGACACTTTTTCCACCACTGGTTCGGCTGTGTCAGTGCCTCGCGCTGCGCACGATGCAGTTGCGCCGAATAGCTCTTCGCAGTGCAGTCAGCAAACTTCCGTTTGTGCATTACGACACTCTGCCCGCGTCGTTGTTGACGTCATTCCGAAGTCGCTCCTCACTGCTTCAACGAGGCTTTGGCGACAAGTTCCGCCTGCATGAAGCCACAACCGTATCATCGGAGGATTGGACGGAGACTCAGCGAGCAGTGGACATTGCTGGCCTCGGGCGCGGATACATTGACGCAAGTGGCGACTTGACAGTCGTGTACGTCGATGGAGCTCAGCTCACGTTAGCCGCCAGTGGTCAGCGACTGTGGTTCGTACCTTCGTGGGGGCTGAAGCACTCTCATGGGGAGATCGGTGCTCGAGGGGACGTGTTTGAGCTGCTCACCGCCGGAAGTCGGTCTTCGTTCCTTCCGTCGGCTGTCAAGCAAAAGCTCGAGAGCGTTCCCGAGTTCATCAGACGTCTCAAAGGCGGTAGCCAAACCTCATGAGTGGACAGAAGGACATGTGCCGTCATTATGGACCGCCGCTTGCAGGCAAAGGACATTGACAAAGGACATTGGTCTGCATCGATATCTACTGGACATCGAACCTGTTTCGAGCAGTCTGAAGAGAGAAGAGAGAAGTGTTTGAGACGTCTTTGGTGGGTGAACGGATACTGCGAAAGACAATCGTTGGAATGGAGGGAAAAACGCTTTGGATATCTATCGGTGCGACGAATGGATCAGATCGTACGCCACTAGTTCAGAGCTGCGGCACCGTATGGTACGACGACTCGACTCGCAGTCGATCGTCTATCGACTCGACAGAAACGGATGTGCTGCCACCTGCTCCAGTGTCGGCCGGCGCAGGGGATCCACGTGCAGCATCTGCTCCAGTACGTCCCACGTCACGTCCGAGAGCTTGCGAGGGAACACGCGATGGAGTTTGCGGACACCGCCGCCCTGGCTCAAGACGCAAAAGTGGCGGTCACTCAGCGCCGGTTTGTCAACGAGCGGTGCGCCCGTGAGCATAATGGCCAACAGCACACCGAGCGACCAAATGTCGGCCGGCAGTGCACTGTACGACGCTGTCGCTGCAAAGACTTCGGGCGCCATGTACCACGCTTTGCCCACGCGTCCCGGGGCCACGCGCGTCTCGTAGGCCGTCGCGAGCCCAAAGTCGCAGACGAAACACACACCGGTGGCGTCCAGCACGACGTTTTCGAGGGAGATGTCCCGATGGGCCAATCCATTCTGCTTGAGGCACAGCAGTCCCCGCACGACGTCGCGGAGGAAGCGACGGGCAGTGGCTTCGGGCAGTCGCCCGTCCAGTGGACTGTGCCGCACGACGTGAAAGAGGTCGCCGCCCGAGCAGAAGGGGAACACGAGGTACAGGTTGTTATTGCACTGCACCTCTTCTTGCAAGACGAGCAAATTGGTCGTCTGAACCGCTGCGAGTCGGTGGTGCACGCTGCGCTCCTGCGTGAGGCTCTCGACCACTTGGACCCGCGTCTTGACCGTCACGTGCGCGCGCGCACAGCAGAGATCGACGCGTTTGACCGCAACGTGGCGACCAGTGGCCGCGTCGAGGCACAACAGCACTTCGCCGAAGAGTGCCGGCGCTAAGGTCTTGAGGATCCGCAGGTCGCACAGGCGCTGCGGTGGGGACTGGACGACTGCTGTCGGCGCTTGCGGCACGACAGTCGACGCGCTCGAAGGCCGCGTGGACAGCGTCTGCCGTCGGTTCTTCTTTGGCTTCGGCTTCGTGTTCTTCTGCTTGGAGGGCGTGGCACTGCTGCTGGCGCCGGGGGTCAAGAAGGCGGCGGTGAGCACGACGTCGACGTAGTGGCGAAGGAGTCCCATGCGGCTGCGATTGGGTGCACTTGCGAAAGGGAATCAATTGGTCGCGGGTCAAGTCGCGTGGCTTTGAGCGACAAGTGGAGAATGAGGTCTCACTTGATGGATGGAGTCGTCGTTTCGATCGGATCACTTGATGGACGGAGACGCTCGAGGGACTGTCTGTCAATAGCCAACGACGGGTCAGCGTTCAGGTGCGAAAGTGCGCTTGCCGTTTCGTCTCGAGTCGATGAGATGTGTGCGGGAGCCAAAGGCAGCAGAGGCAGCTGATGTACGCAGTGGTCGGCATGACATGTGCGCAGAATGTTTCGAGCGAGAGCGACACTTATGAAGTCGACTCGCGTCGATTCGAGTGACTTCGGCAGCGTCGGCCTCTGCAGCGGACGCACCCGAGCGGACGCACTCGTCTTTGCAATGCCACCGAAGTGCGTTCGTTTTCGTTCAGGTGCGAGTGGGCGGCCGATCGCATTTTCCTTCGGACGGTTTGGTGCGCCCCTCGCGTTCTGCGCACGATCGCACGTCGCGACGTTCGACACAGATCGACGACGCAATTTCGACTGCGTGCGACGCGATTGTGGCCACTTGGCACCTACAGGTCTGACGTTACGTGAGCTGAACGTTCTGGCGAATCAGACAGAGGATCTCGGGCGCTGACGTTGAAGTGGCGCGTCAAATCGCACACGATCTGCAAAGGATCGCGCGAGCGGAGAGCTCTCCCCAGGCTAAGTCACATCACTTGAAGCTGCTTTATGGAGCATTTACTCTGTCTAAATGTGGGTTTGTCTACCTGTCTGCACTGTCCCGAGTGTGTCGCAGCGCGCCATGTCAGACTGAGCGGTCTGTCTGACGACAAACGACATGTGAGAGATAGAGCCAATTCGTTGCACCGCATTCGTAGCGAGCGACGAGTTGCGGTGACTAAAGGTGGCAGCACAAGCGCAAAGCTGACGGCGCTCAGGTTGGCTTTGCGTGCAGCGGCTCTCGCGCAAAAGGCAAAGTGTGGTCGTCATTGGCTTTGTGCGTGATTCGAGCACTTTCGGACTATAAAAAGCCGCGATCGGCGTGTGACTTGTGCCCGCGGCACTCGCTCTGCCCGCCTGTGATCAACTCGTGGGTCGTCACGGCACAAGCGTTGCCGTCCATCGGTGCCAGCTGCTGCCTCGAATCGGTTCAGTGGACGACTCGTTGGCGTCGGAAAGCATCTCGCTCGCCGCGTCGGGGGACTCTCCTTCCTGTCCGCAACTGGCATGAACGGCATTCCACGCACGACGAACTTGGACAACTGCAACTGCATCTCGATCTCTAGTGAGAGACAAGTAGGAACTCAGATTTGTGGCAGGTAAACGTAGTCGGCGGATGTCGGTGCAGAAGCAGCTCGCGCTGTAATTGTATCAACAAATGTACGTGCAGCTTTTAGCATTGGCAATTCGATGTGCAGTGCTCGCTACGTGCGTAGGTGTGGGTGCAGAACGTCAAGCTGCCGAAGATATTGCAAGAGCGAGAACGACAAACACACCGACAACGTCAGCAATCATCTACGCACTCTACTCGCGTCGTACGATTTCTACAGCATCAGCACACAAGTATTAGCCGGTCATCGAAGTAAATAATTGAGTGTTCATTGCACGACGCCTACGGCAGCTTTCTACCTGCGATATGACAACGCAAGGGGCTGTAGGCATCATTTACTTGTGATATGACCACGCAAGGGGCTGGGCGTGGCTACACAGACGGTACATCGGGTCCACAAATATCTGGCAACAGTCGGACAATTGTCTGACTGACAGATTTAGGGGCAAGATATATATATCTAGATGTGATACTGGTAGAGGTACAGATTATGGGAACAACGTCTGCTGGTCGTGGGCGCTTCTTGCCATCGATCTATTTATGCGTACATGTGCGTCTAGTTACTGTATCAGCCATCCACTCGCAGCTCTCTTCCCTTGTCTTAACGACCAAATGGCGATTGCAGGACTCCGCGTCCCGAATAAATACACGCGTTGCTCGAGGCGTCCAGCGTCCTGCACCCCCCGCACGCAGGCGCCCCCTCACTCGATGCGTCGCAGCGAAGTGCGGACAATTGGCAGCCGCCACGGGCTCAACGAGCCCACTTGCACGGCGGTCGAGCCGCCCTCATGCAGCGCCCACAAAGCGCTTGACGACGGCTCGGGTCGAAAAGCCAGACTGACGGTGGGCCACCGCCATCACGCGCTTGTTGCGACGACGCGAGAAGAAGCAGTGGATCTTGTGCAGCAGGAGACGACAGCCGCTGCGTGCAACGCCGTCCGACTCCGGACGCGCCACGTACATGGACGGAGCCGCTGCTGACGAGTACGACGGTGTCGCAGGCTGCGGCGGATGGTACTTCACTGGCGACGTCGCCCGCGTCTGCTGTCTCTCGGGGACCTCCACCTGCTGCCCCGGAACCACAACAGCAGCAGCAGCAGCAGTAGCAGTAGCAGTAGCAATAGAGGCAGCACGAGAGCTATTGCTGTCGCTTGTGCACCGTAAGAACGGGTGGGCCACCACTTGATCCATCGCAATGCGCTGCTCCGGGTCCACCTCGAGCATCGCAGCGAGCAGGTCGACCGCCGCCGCCGGGAGGTCCGACGTCAGGCCCCACCGGTCGAGCAAATGCCGCACGCCCTTGTTCGTCATCAAACGAAAACGCGCGTCCATGGACGACGCCGTCTCGACGGGCGGGGCCCCGACCAGCATGATGAAGAGCATGACGCCGAGCGACCAGACGTCGGCCTTTGCCGCGCTGTACGGCACGGCCGCCAGCACTTCGGGCGCCATGTAAAAGAGCTTTCCCACCGTCTCGCGACGGCGCTGCGTCGTCGACGCCGCGAGGCCAAAGTCGCACACTTGGCACTGGTCGTCGTCCGTCACGAGCACGTTCTCGAGCGACAGGTCGCGGTGCGCAAAGCCGTGCGCGTGCAGAAACGACACGCCGCGCGCGATCTGGCGGCCGTACCGCTGCACGCGCGCGACCGGGAGGTGCCCGCGGTCGGCGGCGCTCACGAGCGCATACAGTTCGCCCCGCGCGCAAAAGTCCGACACGAGGTACACGTAGCCGTCGACCTCCATCTCGTCGCGCAGCGCCAGCACGTTCGGGTGGCCGCCCACGCGCCGCAGCTCGTGGTACAGCGCGCGCTCGAGCGCCACGTTCTCGTGCACCTTCTTGTGGCTCGACAGCGTGCGCTGCGCCCGCGCGGCGCTCTGCAACACGCGCTTCACGGCCACGAGGTCGCCCGAGGGCCGGTGCTGGCACAGCAGCACGTCGCCAAAGAGCGCGGGCGCGAGCCGTCGCTGGATCACGTATTCGTCCAACTGGGCGGCCATTGCGCGTTGAGTGAACGAGTGCGCAACCGGTCGCTTGCGGATCGGGCTGTGCCTCGGGGGGCAAATTCGGAAGTGCCGACCACGCGCCGCTGTGCACGTGGGTGGGTTCGGGCCGTTGGGAGCTGCGAAACGGCGCACAGATCGGGACCATCACTCCTGGCTCGACTGATCGATCGATCAGACGATCCCGTCGAGGAGAGAGAGAGGGGGGAGGGGGGGGAGAGCGAGGAGAGTGTCTGCGGAATTAGGCTCACGCGAGCAGGAACATGTCAGAGGCAGCGCGCGGATAGATGTGGTAGTAGTAGTAGTAGCAGTAGTAGTAGCAGAAGTAGTAGTAGTGGTCCTACTTCTACGACCACACCCGTTGTTTGCTTCGGTATGTAGATACAGGATCGACTCAACCTGACCAGTCACGTCAGGCGTGGGGCAGTCGCTGTGCATAACAACTGCACTTTTGTCGGGCGCGACGTGGGCTGCCGAGGAGGTCGTTGCGCAAAGTCCACGCGAGGTGCGTTTGAAACGGATGCGCCCGAGCTGTTGGTTGTTGCAGCGGAGATGGACTCTCGTGGCAACCACCAAATTGCGCTGGAGCGAGCAGTGTTGACAAATCAGCACATTCGGCGAACGCGGGGGCACCGCAGACTGACTTGACTTTCCCGTTCGCGTGTTCGGTTGCAGCGGGCCGCGAGGCTGTCTGCCCGCCGGCTTTCCCTCGGATTTGAAAACGCCTGCCAAAAGTGCTGACGTGGCTCGCTCGGCAGCGACTGAAGACGGCGCGTGCGCGAGCAGAGACAATCTGAATAATCATCATCCGATGGACCCGTCGTGGAGTCGTATCCCACTGCTCACCATCTGTGTGTTCGCCTGTTCGCGGCACGAAGTCAGGCTGAACATTGCGCACGAAGCGGGCGAGGACAGCGTCTTGATTGCACGGACAGTCGAGTGCTCGTGTCAACGCCGCTCGATCGTCCCGCACGTTGCTCTAGCAGCCACATGGGCCGTCTGGCGTGAGAAGCGGGTGAAAAATGTTGCATCGGACAACAGCTCGCGTGGTTGAAGCTCCTGACTACCCGCTAGCGTCTGTTCGCGGCACGACAGAGACGTCCATGTCGCAGCTAAGAATAAGTCATGCGCATGTGGTGACTGCACTTGCGATAATCTGAATGGTCCAGAGCGGCGCGGACGCAGCTAAGACTCCTCGAAATCGTTCATCACGTAGTGCTGCGGTGCTGCCTACCCGCCTCGTTGCGTTGAGCCAGCAGAAAGTCGCTTGGTGTTGCAGCAAGTTCTCTCGAACCACACGTCCGTCCAGGCACGTCTTCCCGTGGGCTCGTGGTTTCGCACTAGTCGAGCAATTGTCACGTGGGCACAAAGCCGACGACGACGACCTGTCGGTCATCGCTGCCTCGTGCTACACCGTATACTCATGAGAGGACCGGATGGACGCAACAGAGACACCACTCGACTGTGAACCTGACTGCGTGTACAACGCCTCGAAGCGCCGCCTGACGGCAGGCAGCAAACTTGCTTACAACGCAAACGCAAACAGTCTAGCTAGACAACTGGCGCCAAGACACTGTGCCGCGATGATGGCCACGTCATACCACAGTATCGATGCAAACTAAGGAACAATCGCCTCGCATGAGGATGCAACACGTCGGAGGTGATGCAAAGCGGTGTCGAACCTGACTCTACGCCCATATTCGAACCCTACTAAGATGCGACAGTCGACGAGGTCAAGATGTCTCAGACTGGTGGTCAGTGTCGTGGTCCTGTAGATCAGGTTAAGGTCATTTACCGCATGCGACATCCGAGCTTCGCGCGCGGGTTCAAGTCAGCGTTCTGACGGCCGTTTTTACTGATGTAATTACGCGGACGCTCAGCCAATGCGAGTGCATTTCAACCATTGGTGCGGAACAGGTCACGCGCTCTCTGAGCAAAGGCCAATAGACGTCATTCAAACAATCGCGTCTCGAACCCACTTGCGTTGACATTAGCAGAAGGTTCCAATGATGTCCAAACACCGTACGTGATACGGCATTGGAATTACCGTCCGAAACAGAATGAGGATAAAAACTGGCTGTTGTCTGAGGAACCCTTCACGATGCATATGCACATGTAAATACTCTGTTGTGGGACAAGTGATGATTAGCTTTTATTCTGACACCTCTTGTATGAGTGCGGGGATGCCAACGGCACCGCGTGTCGTTGAACACCCTTGCGCATTGAGCAGAACCATGCTATACTTTCTGATATCCCAACACCAATAGCTTAGAAAACGTACAAGTAGTAGACCGGCATACGCTCGATGACGATACAATCAATCTAATAACTTTCGTTCTTCCGAGTACACCATGCGGATACCGAATGATCCGAGACGCAATGTGCCTTCTATCTATCCTTGCGCAACTAGAATACGAGCTCTATCACGTTCGTACCGCACACAGTCAATTGTTGCTTAGACCTAGGTAGAAGTTGGCGCCATTGACGATAACCGATAGCGTCGTGTGACCCAACTCACCGACAGCACACGCCACTCTAAGTTAGGCCCAGCTCTTTGCCACGGGCGCCTTCTTCCACAGCAGGTGAGACTACTTTTGGTCGAAATATCTTCCAGCACTTGTGCAGCTGTACAATTTTCAGCAGTTTACATGAAACGTACTTATTCGAATCGACGTGTGGCATGAGGACGGCATATTCAAACCAAGTCGCGACTCGAAAGTAGATGGGCAATGAAAGCTCGAGACTCGTTGAAGAGGACGGACTTCGTCACGACAGTAGCGACGAGGACGCACCTGAAGGCGGCAAGCACTGTGGCTTTCGCATTTTGGGCATCCAAGAGCAGTCGCCTGCGTCCGCAGTCGGCTTCGTGAGCTTCTTCGACTTTATCGTCGAGGCCAACGGTATCCGACTCGTAAGGCACTCTTTGTCATCTATCTACCGAGTGTCGTACTTAGTACGATACAATGCTGTTCCGAATATGTGTGTGATTTGTGGGTACATCATACATATAGGACACTCGAGATGCAACGCTCATGGAGCTCCTCGCCCAGAGTGAAGACCGTCCGATTCAGCTGCGAGTGCTCAACGCCAAGACGCAGACCACGAGAGAGCTGCAATTGACGCCGAGTCGCAAGTGGCCGGGCAAAGGGCTGATCGGCGTGACCATCCGCTTTGACTCGTACGAAGGCGTGGAAGACCAGCTCGTGCATGTGCTGGTACGTGGCACGTGCTTTTCTTGCCGCCTCTGTCGCCTTTTGGTGCATCAGTTGATGTTTACACTTGATGTTTCGTGCAGAACGTAGCTGCATCGTCACCGGCTGAGCGTGCAGGACTCCGAGCAGGGTCCGACTATCTGCTGGGTACACCCGACCGCGTCTTTACGGATGCGGAGGATCTCCATGACGCGATCATCGACGCGCTCGACAGGTCCTTACAGTGCTACGTGTACAAGTACGTGGTGCCATTGTGTCGTTCGTTGTTGACGATGGTCATCTAACTTGAGCGCTTGTGTTGTGCTACAACGTATGCACAGTGCCGTCGACGATCAAGTTCGCATCGTGTCCATCGAGCTGACAGAGGGCTGGGGAGGTGACGGTTTGCTTGGTGCTGAGGTCGGTCATGGCTACCTGCATCGACTACCGTCCGTTTGCCGGAACACGATTGGCTCGTCAGTGGGTTTTGTCGATCTCCCGAAAGGCGTCAAGGCTGCGACAGATGCGTTCTGTAAGATGGATATGCTGACGATCGCTTCTTTCGCTACGGTCAACTAACGCTTGGTTCGTTACATGTATAATTATAGTGAAGCCGCACCAACTCCGGGGCAAATCTCAAGGCAACGATGAAGTTCACGAAAAACCAGCAGCACAGGAGTCCAAACTGACTTTGACGTCACACGAGAATCGCCAAGCACAGTCTCCGACGTGCGAGACCATTCAGCAGGCAGTAGCTGAGCAGCCTATCCGAGAAAGCGATGAAGCAGAATCGGTGGCAGCATCAAGTAGCGATGCAAAGATCTTCTCGCCAACAGAGTCTCGATATACGGCGGCGCGTACAGATCTTCAGTTTCCTATCTCGACTGTCGCCGTGTTTGCTGAACCGTAACAAGTGGTTGTGAACGCTGCTAGAAGGCCAGCGACGCGTAATTGTAACAAGCTGCTAAGTGTCGGAGCATAGTACAAGGATCCGCAAGCGCTCAGCTCGACGAATCGCTTTTACTCGACGGTGACGTCATTTTGTGAAGAACGGATTGGCCTTTTTGCAGACGAGCTGCCGTTGGCAGGACAATACATATGACGACGTCGTCGGTAGGTGCATGTCCACTATGCTAGTTGACGTTTCATTGACGTCGTGTTACGGCAGTCGCGATACGACTCGGCAATAGGGGCGTCGAGTACCTCATGCGAGTCTCAGCTCACACTTTCGTGCAACGTCGAGAAAAGCGACACAGTCGTGCAAGTCAATGTCGAGTCTTCTGCGAACAGCCGACCGCTCATTGCCCCTGCGACGGTACTGCGTTGCGTGCACACGTACCTCTCGAGCAAATGGTGATCACATCGTCGTCGTCATCATCATCGTCACCCTTATTCTCGTCACTATCATCATCGACGTCCGATACGGACTTGACGACTGCAAACACTTCGTCTGCGTGTCGGTCATTTTCGTGTTTTGATGACACTTCTGATTCCGCACCACATTCCCCTTTCGCACGTCCGCAGTAGCGCATGCGTACCACCAGAGCCCATACACCAACTGCCCATCGCACCTCAACATTCTGATTCGTGACCGAAAGCGCAAACAGCGACTCGACGGAAAGTCGGACCACACCGGCAGAAAGCTACGGCAGCACCGGTCCGACTCCGTCTCGTCATGTCGCGCCAATGTTGCTCGTGGAAGGAATGTCGCACGAAGCAGACCATGGCCACACGACTGTCGATCTCCGGTCGTCCGCCATGCGCGAGCGTCTGACGGACGACGTGTCGGCGCTCGAGTCCACTGCTGTCGCCACCGAAGCAGCGACTGCGGACACGATCGCGGCCCGCACGCGCACCAAATTCTCGCTCGTCGACGTGCCGATGGATACACTCGAAGCGTCTCTGGTCGACGCTGCGCCACTGGCCCTGGGAGGACATGTATGTAGCCATGTATGTATGTACCCATGTATGTATGTGTGTACCCATGCGCGTCGCTTCGGCCACGTACTTGTGGGGTGTACCACCTCTCGCGCGCGTGACCGACTCCACTTCTCGTACCACCAGTCGACGTCCGAGCCAATCGGTCCGGCGGCTGCGTAGATGGGAGTGCGTGTCGTGACCGACTGAACGAACGTACGACGCACGTGCTGATTGGTTGTATCGCAGGCACTTGTCGACAGCAGCGAAGACGATCGGGAGTACCAGCGGTTCCTGACGACGCTGCTGCCCAATGAGCAAATGGATCTGTCGTTTCTCGACGAAGAGGACGAGGAGTATCGACCTGAGGGGGACGAAGACGACGACCAGGAGGACGACGACGCGCGCCAAGGGATCTCCAAGAAGGAGCTCACGGACCTACTGCTGGACTCGACGCGCATGACGTCGTTGGCTGCGTCACCAGCTGTCACAATAGAGCCAAAGGGAGACAATGAGGTGGTCGGAGCTACGCTGGCTGTGGACAATCAGAACGAGAGGAGGTATCATTGCGGGACGAGATGTGAAGGTGGAAGAAAGGGTATCATGGCTGCAGCCGAACCGGGGCCGAAGACTAACAGCACGCCAGTCACGATACCGGCAGTGCAGCAAGGTCGATCCGTCACTGTGTCTCGCACTCAGTGCATCCAACTGGCTTCGCAGATGCACAAGCACTTACAGTTGCTGCTTCAGAGCTACCATCTCTTGGCGAGTCAGCCGGCGCGACCTGAGCTAGCAGAATGTCGTGCGATGATTGAGGAATTGCAGGCACGAGGAGAGAAGGCGCTTGCATATAAGAACGCACTGTTGTCGAAGCTGAACCCCGGGACGAGAAGTAGTGCAGGTGTTGCTTCGACGCGTGCTGCGGATACCGATGTTGGTGGCTACAATGACATTCCGTGCCCCGGTGAGTTGTCTAGCGTGGAAGAAAACGGTGGAAACGCTAACCCCACGGGAAGTATGCTAGTCTCGCGGCGTGTAACCAGGTCGCTGACTGCAGCACATGCGGCGGTAGCCCACCCCTCGATGTTCGAGCTCGTTGGGTCGCAAACGGTAGACGAGCTTTCGGCTGGCTTTGCTCGAGGCTGCTCGCTAGAAGAGCGCGACCGTGCCGTTCAGGAGCAGATGCTCCAGCTGGACACACATTTGTTATCGGCGAAGAAGCGACGAAAAAGCAAGAAAGGGTACTCAATGACAGAGGACGCTTTGCTAGCACATGGTGCTAAGCGGTTTGGTACGCAAGCGACTTCGTGGGATCAAATTCGAAGACACTTTCTCCCGAGTAAAACGACACAGAATCTCCGACATCGCTACAAGTACTTGATCAGCCCGAAGACAGGAATGAACGCTGTCAAAGCGCTTCACTCAAGGACTGGTCCGCAGCACCACAACAATAGCTGGCTACTAGAAGAGGATCTCCGGATCGCGCGTGGACTCGTTGAGTTGCACGGGGAGAAGTATCCCTTTTCTCGACTCTCAAAAAGCTATCTCCCTCATCGCAGTCGTCTCGAAATTCGGAAGCGCTGGGAACGGCTGGTGACAAAGTTTCGTCTGGACCTGGCTGACATGAAGCTTGCAGTGCCTGCTGACGATTCGCTCGATCTCGTGGTTGCGATGAAGGAACTGCTGGAGGACAAGCTACGAGCTCGAATGTTGCACCAGCACGGGAAGGCGGAAAGGGCAAAGCCGGAAACTGCGGTACAGCTGGACCGGCCTGGTCAAGGAAGACGAAATGCGCTCGTGTCCGCATCTGTCGGCAAGGAAGCCACCCTGGGTGCATCTTCGCTTGTTACAGGTACTCAGAAGACTGGGTCCAGCTCGATTTCCTGCAGATCCAAAAATTTGCACCCCGCGCTATTTTTCTCGTCATGGTCGTTCATCAGTCCCGCGACACTGCTCAATGGAACCTGCGAACACAACTGGCCCTCCTTCATGGACGAAGACAATGAGACGAACGATAGTATGCTGAGGAACCAACTCAGCGCTAGTGACGTGGATGACCAAGCGCTGCAACCCGAGTCACAGCATGTCTGCGTGAGCGGTCAGCCAGAAGCACTTGGCACGGTACAGACGCGAGAGTTCATGTGGACTGCGATGCCATCTGATGCAGTTGTCACTCCACCGACAGGCACGAGACTTTCTCAAGCGAATGTCGAGATGGATGCGTACATTCTGCAGAAGGATAGCGAGGAGGACGACGATGATAGTGACTACGAGCGTGACGAGTTGCTGTCGTCCGACAGCGAAGAGAGTGGGTCTGACTTCGAGCAGATGGAGTTCACGGACGCGGACGACGATACGGATGCGAATGGCGATCGCGAAACCAGCACATACGCGCTTGACCAGTATGATGATTTAGCGTCCGGCGTGGACGACCGATCTGTTACCGATGCTGACTCCCCGAACGAAGGCCCTTGTTGGTCTCCACTGTCGTCTTCGATGAGTGATCCTCCCGGTCTGCAGAGCGCGTATGGCGTAGTAAGTGGTGCTTCTCACACGCGCATCAGACACCCGCTTCGTCTGCAGAACTTGGGCCGCCCAGGTAATGAACGCATAGGACGTGCTCTCGCCGCGCTGGAGCAACGTATTGTGGGCAAGAGCATCAATAAGACCGCTTCTCTGTCGGCCACGAGCTCACATACGGGTTGCGCCGACCGCCCGAAGCGAAAAGTGGCGTCAACGTTGGTCGCACCTCTCAGCAGCAACCGGACAAGCAAGAGCCATTTTCGAGCAAGCATCGAAGAACCTGCACCGGCAGCTGGTACTGCACTCACGGCTAGCGACGCCGACGATGACAACGCTAGTCGCGCGGAAGACGGATCCTACGACGAAGCCGTTGAGGTCGCTGACTTGTTCTCGAGTCCCACGCAGCTCTTCGTAGATGACGACAAGAAAGCTGCAGCTGAGATATCGAGGACTGGACAAACGCCGCACGAGTGTGGCTGCGATCGAAACGTGGCAACTACAGCTTCACGTGCCAATGTGTGTGACCCGATCTGTAGCAGCACTCCTCCGAGCAAGAAGGTGAGACTAGAAGTATGTCCGAGCTGCAGTCAGACCGTGTGCATGTGCCGATCAAGCGAACTGCGCTGAAGAGAGCAGCCATTGTGGATGGATCGAGGCAGTGACACGAGTGACGTTGTGCTGTGCCCACACCGATGGAAGATTGCCATTTCCGTGTGCCACGAGCGCCTCGTTATGTACACTACACGCAGTGACAACGAGCATCCTGCCGCTGCGCTCTCACCTTCGGGTCTTCTTCGCTCCTCTCGCATCAACACCACTCTCCGCCGTTTGCCGCCGCTTGTCTCTCTTCTGCTTCTGCTGCTTCTTCTGCTTCGGCTGTGAGCTCGTGAGCGAGTGCTGCGACAGACTCTGGAGAATCAGATCGTCCTCCTGTGCCCACTCCTGTTGGCTCTGCGTGAACCGGTTGACCTCTTGGCGGCCCAGCAGCAGATCCGTCACGACTTCGTCCTCCTCGACGTGTGGCACTCCCCGCGCCAGTGCCAGCGCCGCGTCCATCCGCGCGAGCGCCGACGGCGGCACTGCGTCTGTCCAATTGGCCGCCCAAGTGGCTGCGACTCCCACGCGCTGTTCGTCGACCGCCGCGACAGCCGCTTCGGCCGCTGCTTTGTCCGCGTAGTCCAAGAAGACGAACCCGTCGGGCGCCATATCCAGAAAGTTGTGGTGGATCTGCAGGCAGAGCGGCACGGCGATCGATAGTCAGTCCGTCCGTCAGTCAGTCCGTCAGTCAGTCTGTCTGTCTGTCAGTCAGTCAGTCAGTCTGTCAGTCCGTCTGTCAGTCAGTCTGTCAGTCCGTCTGTCAGTCAGTCGCGCGACGGCGACACGTTCTGTGTGGCGCACATGCGCTGCAGCAGACGGCGATCGACGCACCGTCACGGACGAGAGCGCACCGTACGCGGCAAAGAGCTGTCGCACGGCGTCTTCGCTGGCGCACAGAGCGGACGGCACGCGGGTGACAACGACCGCGTGCGCTCGTCGGCCGCCGCTCGGACGGGCAGTGGCCGCGTTGACGGCCTTCGACTCGCACTTGACGGTCTTCGGCGGCGCTATTGTCATTTTTGTCAACGCCACCGACAGCTGAGTGGTTTCGTTGCCGGACATTTGTCGATCGATTGCACAGTGTGATATTTGAACCGCGACATTTGACTATGGCAGAACAAATGCGCCCGCACGGGGTGCAGCTGCACTCGCATGACTTTGAGTGGGCCGACCTGGCGCACGAGTGCCAACGGACAGAGGCGGAACAGGAGGAGGGACACAGTGGTAGCGAGAGCGCTGTGGCGGTGATCGACGACGGGCGCGAGCGCTGCGACACGCAGCAGTTGGCAAAAGAGGCCCGAGACAAGTGGGACGTCTTCCACCAGCGACACAATGGTAAGTGGTATTGAGCGAGTGCGTCAAATTGGTAGACAGGTGGGGCACTGGACAGAGTGGTGCGCGACTGAGTGAGTGAGTCGGCAAATGAGCGAATGGGTTTCTGTGCCAGTGACCCGACATGAGCACGTGCAGTGCAACGGGAGGTCTGACGTAGCGCTATTTCAATGGCAAAGGCCGAGTCTACAGGCCCCGCAACTACCTCGTGACGGCGTTCCCGGAACTCTGTGCACCGGAGCGCAACGCAGTGGACGTGTTGGAACTCGGATGTGGCTACGGCAGTGCGATCTTTCCGATCCTCGCCACGTACCCCAACGTGCGCGCCCAAGTCTGCGACTTTAGTGCACACGCGATCCGCATGCTCGAGCAGCACGCAGACTACGATGCTGCACGCTGCCGCGCGTTCGTGTGCGACATTGTGCAGGAAGAGCTCGTGGGTGTGCCACGTGCGTCCATTGACATTGTGCTCATGGTCTTCGTGCTGTCCGCCTTACCCCCCGAGTCGTTCGCCCGCACGCTGCAAAAAGTGTACGCCGTGCTGCGACCTGGTGGCATTGTCTGCTTTCGCGACTACGGCCTCTACGACCTGGCGATGCGCCGCAATGCCAAGAAGCTCGGACCGAATCTGTACTACCGCAGCGACGGTACATTGGCCTACTTCTTCTCGCGCGAGACGCTGGTGCAGCTGTTCGAGCAAGCAGGCTTTCGCACTCTGGAGGCCACCTATTGCACGGTGCGACTGCGCAATCGAAGGAAAGGAGTGACGATGGATCGTGTCTGGCTGCACGCTAAGCTCGAGAAGCCCGGGGCAGAGGGGAGCTCGTCGAAAGCGTAGCACATAGACAAGGATTTGATGTGCGCGGGATGGCAGAGCGGCACGCACATATGTGGGACACAAACAGCTGCACGGCAAGTGGTTTGGGTGCAAGAAAGGAGAGATGGTCTGACTTTGCCCACTTGTTTGGACACAAAGAGTTTGGAAGGTCAGAGGTGCTGAGCATACTGCTGGAGTGGCAGACGGCGTACTTCTGTCAAGACGTCTACCGACCAGTTCATTGCGGTCGTTCGAAACAGTGTGCGTGTGAGCTAATCTAAGCGTCGGTTGGACTTCGCGTTGCAACGAAACGCCCATTCTGTCGCCTGTAGTCTGAAAGTGTGTCGACCGACACGCCCCACGCAGCTTTTATATAGCACGAGTGTTCATCCGAACATGTTGGCTCATTACACTCGGCATGTGATTGGAGGTCTACGCGCGCCTGTAGTTTTGAACAAACCGATGGATAGTCGAGGTCTATTGTGGCACCATGACGTCTTTTCGGATATATGAGGCCTCTACAGAATGATTGATTATCCTGCTAAAGAAACGATGACAAAATGAATTTAATTTTTTTTATAATCAATTGTTTTACAGTTGAGAAAAATTAATACTAGAATGTGCTTATTAAATAGGATTAAATATTTTTCTTACAATGATGTAATTTATACTATCAAGTAAAGAATGACTAAAAATGGATGTAAACTACCACGCCTTTTAAATTGAGGATCCCCCTTCATATTTCACTAATCGATTCTATTTAGGGAAGCGTTATCCATCCACCACCCAAACGTTAACCACCCCCCCAAATTAATTTTGATTCTCTATAATTCACCGTTGTGATAGGTCAAAGAGAATGAACCTAACTGTAAGAATTTCAACACCCACAAGACACTCACCTTCAAATTGCAACCTTCCCTGTTACAACAACGCTATCAAGATGAACACCCTTACCCCCATCTTCACAATTGGACATGCCTCTCTTGCTGAGGCTCAAGCTGCTGTAGAGGCCCATGCAATATCACAGGGATATGCCATTCTTGTCAAATGTGTGCAAACATGGTCTAATTTACACTTTGGCTACTTCTAGATTTTCTACTTGTTATAAATCTACATCTTAAACTGTGCGGCATGTACGTGAATTTTGCCCTGCCTAGGAACACCGTCCATCATCGTCGACGAGGTTCAGGATTAGCAGCTGCATTTGCGAGCTCAAAGCGGAAGGCAAGCGTCGTGTTGACTCTGTTGGCCGGCCTCGCGTCTCTACTCACACAGGATTACAGACAGCAACATCATTGGAGACTGCAAGCACACGCTCCAGAAGCACGTGCTTGCGATAACCCTTACAATCATCGTAGCCATCTGCAAATCACTTCAATGCTATATCCATTGACGGAAGAACAACATCTGCAACATTTGGCGGTGGTGGCTGGACCAACCACCAATGCTGATCGAAGTCATTGAAAGTTAGCCGTACCATTGGGCGGCTGCGGCTGCGGGAGCGTATCTGATGTTGGTATGGATACCCCATTGTCGATCTAAGAATACCAAGACATTTGCATCTGACCTCTTCATTTTGCTCCTGCAAATGTAGTAGCTGGTATGCGCCGCGCAGTGCATGCACCGAGATCTTTCCCATCACCTGCAAAAAAAAGCCGTCCCAATCTTAGGTTGACCATTGCCCGCTCTGCTGCATTTTGCTGTAAAATATCAGCCAGCTGGCCTTCACATGCGAGCCGAACTGCGCCATCCACTGCCAGTAGGTGACCTGGAAATACATTTATCTGTCAGCAACGGCCTGGACCTCATGTGACTTAACTGAAAGATCCACTTACCTGTTGATGTCCCGATCCGTTTCTTGAGGGCTGCATGTGCGCTTTCCACACTTGACGTTGAGACTTGACCATAATGCTTTTCCCGCGTAAGAATGCTGACACAAACCTCTCCTTGTACACCAGCCAGGTGTCATTGCAGTAGCGCAAAACGTGCGCTTGGATCTCTCCCTCATGCATTGCCTGGATGTTCAGCATTTGGTGGCAACTGTTAGAATAAACACGAATAAAAAGCATTTGGAAATTGAAGACAAAATTTTACCTGGGGTTGTTCTTGGTAACTTTCAACAATGGTAGCACTAACAAGAGAATTCCATGCCTTCATAAAAATTTCCCATGCTTCTGCTGTGAGGCCTGCCTTGTGCTTGGCGAGGATATTTTTGTTGATGTGCCACCTGCACAGCAGCATGTTGGCAGTGGGAATTGTTTCATCAAGCGCACCCATGAATGCAAGCTCACGATCAGTCACAAAGGTGACATTGTTGGTAGGGAGGTTGTATTCTTCAAACAAATTTCGAAGGTGATGCACAGCCCAACGGTAATTTGCAGCTGTCTCTCTTTGCATAAAGCAGCATGCAAAGGTAAAGCTCTGGTGGGATGATGTGGCACCAACAAAATGATACAGAGGCATTCCAGACTTGTTTGTCTTGAATGTTGCATCCGGTAGCCACACTTTACATGCGCAAAACTTTTGGTAGATCTCACGGGCGCAGGGTGATATAACCAGGAGATGGGTGAGCTTCTGCTCACTGTCAACCTGTGAGAAGTGGTGGGCAGCATCACCAAGGCTGTCTAGGAGAGCTGAAATTAGTGAGCGGCCGTTGAGCATCCGGGCCAGTTCCCTATTCCTGATGTTGCGAATATCCTGGCCTGTGAGCATAACACCTTCATTCTGCTGAATTGAGATGGTGATACGGCTGTTTGGAACAAGTGCACGTAAAACCTCCAATACTCTTCGGTTTTGTTCTGGTGTGAGCATGCCAGCGCGTCCTTGCGGATGCGCGCACGGATGCGCAAACGCCTCATGGTTGTGCTCAGCGATTATACCTTAAACAAGCGATTAATTCTCTTGATTGCGTATGTTGGCTTCGAAAGGACAGCCACTGCTTCAAATTGGCCTCATACGCCTGCCTAGGCCATTGCGCACAACAGGAGCGTTTGTTTGTGAGCGCTGGTAGTATACCACCTTAACATTGCCTTCCTCCCTGTTGCCAACCCTCTTGGTACGCTTGACAACAACGACATATCCCTGTGATATTGCATGGGACTTTACAACAGCTGGAGCCTCAGCAAGAGAGGCATGTCCAATTGTAAGGGGGGTAAGGGTGTTCATCTTGATAGCGTTGTTGTAACAGGGAAGGTTGCAATTTGAAGGTGAGTGTCTTGTGGGTGTTGTAATTCTTACAGTTGGTTTCATTCTCTTTGACCAATCACAACGGTGGGTTATAGCCAATCAAAATTAATTTGGGGGGGGGGGGTGGTTAACGTTTGGGTGGTGGATGGATAACGCTTCACTTCTACATATCATATTTATCCGCCGATAGCGTTTTGCACAAAAAGGATAAATTGACTCTTTAGCAGATCTAAAAGTATAATATTCGCTTCACGATAAGTCACGACACTTTTGTGTCTACCATTACGGTTTATCACTGCAACTTTGTGTAGCACTGTTCATGGCGTATTCCTTCCGATATATGAGATGGAATAGCGCTGATTGCGCGTACACAATGCTGTGTTAGGTGAAAAAGGTATGACCTGAGGTAGTATAAGATGACGACGACTAAGCAAACTACATCAAAAAGGGCAGAAACAAAAGTGAAGAGCTGACAAACACATTTTAAATACTACTACAGGTGTTCTCGCGGATGATTGTGAAAATGGTGCAAACATTGCACATTTCCAGAACACGTACTCTTAATAAAATGTTGTGGTCGTAACAATGGGAACTTGCTGGTGGTGGTAGTATCGTCGGCGTTGCGACGTACATGCTGCGATGACAGACGCAAAATTTTGGTTTGCAGTGAAGATATAGTACACCAAGCGCAGCATCTCAGACCTCTTCGTCTGTTCAGACAAGAGATCAAATATACGGATACATTATTATGATATGCAATCTTACCATTGCCGCTTCATCGGCGAGCACAATTCGTGTATGGCTTGCGTCATATATCTCTCATTTCCAGTGGGAAAAAAACTGATGCGTCAACTATAAGGATGTTGTTTACCTGGGGGTTTGTGGAGACAAAAGAATTGATAGGCGCCTCTAAATCGTAATATGTACTATATGTATGATTTGCTACAGCAACTTCTCAAATTGATCGACGGCATTATCACTTTCTCTTATGATCCTAGGCATCTGCAAATTTAGTGGTACAGTCTATATATAGCACTTTTTACATTTTGATGATATCCAATTTGACATTTTTCACATTACAGATATTCATTCATTTATTTATTGTAAATTCAATTAATAAGTTAAACTTTCTTTATACAGTGAAGCACGTTTTGTGTAATTCGCTTCATTGATGTCGAAAAGTGTTGTCCCGAGAAGGTAAAACGTGATATACAAATTTAAGCTCAAGTTCGCAATCTCTTCTTGCTGGTCAAAGCCTTCTGGATTCTTGCAACTTAACATTCATAGTTGTTATATCACGCATTACCAATTGTCAAGTCGCGCATAAGGAATCGCCACATCGCACATTAGTACTTAGCATATTCTATATTACTGATCGTCTAGTCGTGAGCTACTGATTCTAGAAACATACATTCTGGCTGACAATTGCACGCCGGCGCGCATCTCCAAACCGGTACGATCATACCTGTGTTAATCAAAACATGATCGCACTAGTATATGCAACAGGCGGTGTTATACAGCAGCTATTTATGCATTATCTTGTGTCGTTCATTTTTGTTCGTAATTACCTGGTGCATATATATAAGCAATGACGTTGTGATACAAAAACATGTTTTCATTTCCCACACTCTGTCGTCTACTACTATATTGTCGTTATTAGCCTGTGTATTTTCGTTATTTTTTCCTATTTTTCGTCTTGCTGTGTACTTAATTTTTTGTATGACGCAGATCTGAGAATCTAGTGTCGTAATCGAAAATTTAAAATCTTTGGCCATCTCGCAAACTCCGTATGTATCACAAATATTATCATCACGCGTAAAATACTCATAGCCGAC